GGAGCTAGCTCTGTGCTGCCCTTGGACATCAAGCATGATCCCAGGCAGTTGCCCAGACCAGAGATGTCATCATGGACTTTGATAACATGGGCCATGGGCATCAGCACAGATCCCTGCTTCTGTATGGTTATGGACCTAGACATGCTCCTCAGTGGCCTCATGGCCAGGATGTCCTTTCATCATGCCCTCAGGTGGCAGCACAGGCTACTCACATCAGGCTGTTCCTCACCACCATCAAATCTCTAGTTCTGTTTCTCTTTATAGTGCTTAAACCATTCAGCTTCTCTTCCTCTCCCTCTCTCATCTTTCTACCACATATTTGCACATTATAATAGTACCCATGATGGGTGGGCAGCTCTGGGTGTCTTCAGCCCTCTGGCAGGCAGGCCTCTCCTTCATGGTTAAGTTAATGAGACACTGTATTAACATAAAAAGTGAAAATTATAAATTAGAACTTTTAACATTAAACATTTCATTTCAGACATTATTAACCTTTTAGATTACATTCAGCTCTATCTTTAAAGAATACTGATAGTATCTAATTCAAGAATATGAAGCTTATCAGTAATCATGCCATGATTCTAACATTGTTGTAACTCAAGGGAACTCAGCTGGCTTGGTTTTACTACTTTTTTAGTGAGAGTCTGGGAAGGTTGTCCCTTATATCTTGGGGGGATGGGAGAAGGAAGTTACTGCATAGTGATGATGGTAGTGATGATAGCATGTATTTAATTGGAATTTATTATATAGCATATGTGCTGAATTTTAGATTTATCACAGCAGAATGATAAATCACTTATATTATATAAACTCAAATCTTTGGCTGTACTTAGGTTAGGGATTGGCAATAAATGACTAGAACTATTAAAGTTGAATGAATGTGAGATGTTAAAGGGCCGAGAACATGGTGGTGTGGCTTATGAAGGAAGGGAAAGGGAAAGGGAAAGGCTCAGTCTTTAACATGACTGTGGGAGAAACGTGTGAGCTGGGCACAGTGTGGAGACTGAGACAAAAGGAACACTGTAAGTCAAAGCCAACCTGGTCTGCCTGTGCAGTCAGACGCTGGAGAAGGGTGGCTAATGGATACTCAACCAAGTAAATGTTGAAAATTCCTAGCTGACAAATCTGGAGATTATTAAAATCCTAGGTGATGAACAAAGTCTCCTGGGCAGAGTTTTTTGAACTTGTACTAAACCTAAGAATTTATAGACACTCCCTTGAAATTATATGCAAAAGTTTATATGTGCATTCATATGTGTCTGATTTTCATTAGACGCCATAGGCTCTAGGAACACAAGGTCCCAGGCCAGTGACTAAGAGACACCCCTGAGGCAAGCAATTAAGGAGAAAATTAATTAACATTGTCCAATTAAGGATAATGCAGACTGAAGGTGATCCACACAATGGTGGTAATTAGTTCTGGGAGGGAAGGCTATGTATAGAAAAAGAAAAGCAGGGGCTAGAGAGGTGGTTCAGCTGTTGAGAGTATTTGCTGTCTTCCAAAGACCTTAGTACAGTTCTTAGCAATTGGGATGGCTCACAATGGTAACTCCAGTCAGCTCCCAGAGTTTCAGTGCTCTCTGTCATAGGCACACATGTGGCCTTCATACACAAACTCATAAATAAAAATATAATAAAAATAAAACTTAAAAAAGAAAACCAAAAACAAACCTCTTGTGGCTAGAGAGATGGCTCAGCAGTTAAGAGCACTTGCTGCTTTTGCAGAGGACCTGGATTTGGTGTTCCTAGCACCCACAGGGCAGCTCACAGTGATAATTTTCAGTACTAGGGAACCTGACACCCTCTTCTGGGTTTCATAGGGACTTAAATAAAAATAAATCTTCAAAAAAAAAAAAAATCCAAAATACTATCCTAGACTGGGATGAACCTTGAAAACATTGTTTTAAAGAAGGAAGGGTGAAGCAAAGGTCCAGACTAGAATGTGATAGCTTCTTGTAGTTCCCAAAGGAGTAAGAATCAGTTAAGGAAGAAATGAGGATGACCAAGAAAATACAGAACCAATAGGGAGAAGTGTTTGTGTTGGAGACCAGCTAAGTGTTAAGCATAACTGAAAGGTCTTTATGGGGTTTTTAGCCTGGAGGAGTTGTTCTTGACTTTAAAGCAATTTCAGTGAGGTGTGAAAAACAGAAACCACATCACAAGGGGCAGATGGGTAGAAAAGGACGGTAGCCAGAGTCAGCATTGGAGTAAAAGCTTTTTTTGAGGACTTTTTTGTGTCAGAATCTATACCAAGGTTTTCTTTATTTAAATTGACGTTGTTTTTTTATATATATATATATACCTTCATATAACTGTGTAAGAATTCTCTTATGACTCCCATTTTTGGATTAGCAAATAGAGAGTTATAGAGATTGAGTTCTGCTCAGGATCATGTGGTCAGCAACTGTGACAAAACCCTGGCAGCCTGGCTCCTGAACATCCGTTTCCCCTCATTTTTGAGAAAGTATTGCAGTGGAGTTGACTGAATCTCCTGTAGCCAAGCCTGGCCTTGAACTCACACCCTGATCCTCCCAACTCCACTTTAAAAAGCTGGGGTCAGAGGCAAATGTCACCATGCCATGCCTGAGCCCTCAGTTTTTGTCACTATCATATTTTTTATTAAATGTTTATTTTTATATTAATTATAGTTTATTCACTTTGTTTCCCAGCTTTAGCTCCCTCCCACATTTACCCTCATCTCCTCCCATTCTCCTCTCCAAGTCCACTGATAGGGAGGTCTTCCTCCCCTTCCATCTAACCCTACCTTTTCAGTTCTCATCAGGACTGGCTTCATTGTCTTCCTCTGTGGCCTGGCAAGGCTGCTCCCAGGAAGTAATCGAAGAGCCAGCCACCGAGTTCATGTCAGATATAGTCCCTGTTCCCCTTACTAGGGAACCCAGTTGGATACTGTATCACAATCAAATATGAGACAAACTAAAGAAAAGGGTGATTCCTGTGAAGTTTAAAGTGAATGTAAATGTTCTTATAAAAAGTGAGAAAAAGGCAATTTTGAGCATTTTTTTTTTCCTTAAAAAATAGAACCAAAAACTAAAAAGTTACCAGTAGACAGTTGGGGAACCTGGATAGAAGACTTCTGATTATATCATGTTATGTTTAATGTTGGCCTCATATTGAGTATCAGGGGTTTTATTCAAATTAAAGCTGGAGAGAAGCCATTCCTAAACACACAGCTGTTTTTCTCTTAGAAGTGTTCTGTACAAGCTTTTTAAGTAACTAGTTTTAGGAGTGTAAAGGTTGAAGCCTAGTGCCTGGTCTAGCATGAACTCTGTCACTGACCTACATCCCCACACCTTTCTTTCAATTACTTTTAAAGCATAATAGTTAGACTCCATATTGTAGGACAGTGTTATCTCAAGATAAAAAGAACTTCACAGAAAATGTTAGCTTGTAGATTTCTGTAATCTTATTGCTGGTAGTAATATTAGTACAGCTGTTTTGAGATTATTTGATGTTTACTCTAGGATAGAACACGTACTTTGTGTTAATATTAAGAACCAAGGTCTTTTAGGAAAATTACTTTTTTAAAAGTCAACACAAGCCTGGCAGTGGTAATGCACACCTTTAATCCCAGCACTCAGGAGACAGAGGCAGGCGGACCTCAGAGTTTGAGGCCAGCATCTTTACCAGAAACTTTCTCTGATCTTGAGTAATCCATTCTTTTCCTTCAGAATTGTAGGTAACTGTTGTGAAGGCTTTAAGGCAAAGGGAAGTGTTGTGAGCCCACCATTTCAGTTTCTGATAGGAGCAAATACAGAATAGATAAAATATCCATTTATACTTAAGGCCTACAGGTATAGAATATGTGTAGGAGAGTTGTAAGTTATAGTTACTATACATTTTTTACAATATTGTTCGTGGAAAGGTTCATAATATTATCATAATAAGAATTTAATAGGCTTGTTAAATTTTATGGTGTTTTGTATAGTGCCAAGTATTGTGGAGATTACAGTGGAGAAAAACGTGATTTCTATTCTCAGAATGCTTAGGTGTATGTATATTTTCAAAACACAGTGTGTAAACATTAAGGTTATATGTGTATACATTGGGATATTTATACATACGAGAATTACAATGTTTCAGAGTATGATATGTGATAAGGGGTTTTGTGGTAGTTTGAATGAGAATGACCCTGTAGGTTCATATATTTGAATATAATTTGGTTCTATGTCAGTGGACATTTTAGGAAGGATTAGCAGGTGTGGCTTTGTTGGAATAGGTGTGTCACTGGGTGTGGGGTAGAGGTTTCAAAAGGCCATGCCAGGCCCAGTCTTCCTCTTTCTCCGTGAGCTCCAGGCTGCTGCTCTAACATCATGCATACTACCATGCTTTCTGCCATGATGGTCATGGCCTAACCCTCTGAAACTGCAATCAGTTCCCAGTGAAATACTTTCTTTTATAAATTTCCATGATCGTGGTGTCTCCTCACAACAAAATGGAACAATAATTAAGATTCAGAGAAGAGAGAGTCTGTTTACTTGAAATGATACAAGCCTACTAAGGGTCAAGTGACACTTGAGCAGGATTCTAAAAGGATGGCTAGGATTTCAGTAAGAGTCTATATAAGTGGTGATAAAATAATTCCATCCCTGGTCATGGTCCCAGATCAACTAAGTCACTTAAAAGTTACATAAATTCAACTACATTACTGCATTCTTTTTATCTTCAGCTTTGTTACCCATAATGTTGGAATTACAAAAAAATTATCAGAGAGGTTTATAGGCTATGAGACACTATGTCATCAACATACTTTGTAAACTGTGAAATCTTCCATAACTGAGCTCTTGGATTTATGTGGAACCTGTGAAATATAGTTGGAGTTATTTCCCCAAAGGCAAGAAACTTGGGAAATATGTTATTTGTGTCATTTGATTGTTCTTTTTTTTTTCATTTAAAAAAAAGGAGTTAAATAATTTCTTAAATGCTAATATTGAGTATAGTTTATTTTTGTGAAAAATCCTTAATATTCTCTTCTTTTACAGATTATCTTGCTAATCATGGGCGGTTAAATGAATCTGAAGCCAGGAGAAAATTCTGGCAAATTCTATCTGCTGTTGATTATTGCCATGGCCGGAAGATTGTGCATCGTGACCTGAAAGCTGAAAATCTCCTGCTGGATAACAACATGAATATCAAAATAGCAGGTAGTTGGGACACAGCTGTCTCAGAAATGGTCGGAGAGGGCTACCGTTCCTAGTGTGTGGAAAGAACCCTGCGTGCAGGGACAGGCTTAGCCACATGTGCTTGCCTCTCAGTCCTGAGCGAGACTGTGAGAGAAGAGAATATGTTCATGACTAATATATAGTAGTGGAGGTCTGAGTTGCATCCAGATTTCTTGGGAGGTTTTGTAGAATAGGTTGTTTGTCAAAATGTGAGACTGAGTGGAGGGCTGGAGAGGGAGAAGCACTGGTTGCTGGTGCTCTACCTGGGTTCCTCTTGTAGTGCTGATGGCTTAGTATGGATGCAAGCAGTAAAGGCACAGGAAGCAACGGAAGCAGAATGAGAACAATGCAGAGACACACCACACACATATGTTTCTGTGCGCATTTGTGGGTTTTGTTGTTGTTTTCTTTTTTCTTTTTTGAGACAGGGTCTTGTATCTCATATAGCCCAGGCTTTCCTTAAGTATACTATGTAGCTGAGGCTACCTTATGGTTCTCCTATCTTTGCTTCCCAAGTTCAGAGATTACAAGCATGTACGACCATGTCTAACTCAACTGAAAAACATTTTTTAATTTCATGATGTGAGTTTCTCTTGTCTGTCTGTCTGTCTGTCTGTCTGTCTCTCTCTCTCTCTCTCTCTCATTTCTTTTCTTAGCTTGGCCTTTTGAGATAGTGTCTTTCCATGTAGCCCTGACAGGCCTAGAACTTTCTATGTAGAGCAGGCTGTCCTTGAACTCACAGAGATCTACCTGCCTCTGTCTCCCAAATGCTGGAATTAAAGTTGATAATATAAATTTCTTAATTCACATAGTCAAAACTCACTCATATGTGGTGAAATATATGCCAGGCATTATGCTATGCTAAATATAATATTATATGTTATTTCACAGCATATATGTATATAAAACTTTACGTTGCTTGTTTTTTTTTAGTTGTCAATTATATCTTAAGTGGTAAATATACAGAAAAGCGGTATTACAGAGCTGGGGATATATAGAGCTCAATGATAGAGCATTTGCTTAGCATATGCAAGGTCCTGGGTTCAGTTCTTCTACACCACCTAAAAAAGTGATAAGAGTGTAACTGTGTGCCACCTACAGCACAAGTAAGGGAACACCAGTAAGGCATAAATGGGGGAACCTCAGTCAACTTGAGTTGTCAGAGAAGCATCACAGATTGGGAAGTGTTTGATCTTATTCTTGAGAGATGAGTTAACTGCTTGCCAAAAATGCAGAAGCAGGATGCTGAAGTCAAGCAGATGGAGTCAGATGAAGATCATAGCTCAGTATGGGCAAAGGGAGCAGCAGAGGAGGAGACGCTTAGGTAAACAGTAGGAACAGCCTTGAATGCCTTGTCAGGGATTTGAGAGTATTTTATAGTTAATGGAAATCAAAGCTACTGAAAAGCTTATAGTATAGATCTTAGTTAAGTGAAATGAGGCTGGCAAACTTAACTTTGCGTGTCAGCAAACTCTGGTAATAGTGTTGAGATGTCTTAGAAGCAGGAGAGCTGAACACAGGAAGTATGGGAAGAGTGTGTGTGTCTAAATAGAGAACAGCAGTAGAGATTGAAGATGGGAGGGAAAGGGAGGTTTAGAAAATAGAGACAGATTGAAAGTTTACAACAGTTGCAAGTTGTGGTGACTTGTACCAGGATTGCTGGAGGGACAGAGAGACATCCAGGTAAGATTCATCAGTAAACTACTTAGGCTGGATATTCTCTAGGCTCAGTAGGTTTAAGCAGGAACCAACTGCACTGGATTGAGAGGGGGGTGTTGTGTGTGTATCTACTGGTCTGTAACTCTATGTTGGGAAAATGCACTCTGAAGACCATGCTGGCCTCAAACTCAGAGCCACCTGCCTCTGCCTCCCAAGTGCTGGGATTCAAGGTATGTGCCGCCACACCCAGCTCATCCTTCTTCTTGCTATCCCCCTATCACTTTTTCCTCCCAACATCATGTGTTTTGTTTTGTTTTTAACCCACTGAGTCCACCTATAATGCACCTATAATGTGTGCGGGAATATAGGACCATCTATTGGAGTTTTGATAGCCTCTCGAGAGCTAGGTCCCTGAAGAAAACTGACTATCTCCCCAGGCAGCCATCAGTTGTGAGTAGTTCTTCCTGCTAGGAGTGGAACTTCATGAGTCTCTCCCATTGTGCATGCTGGGATTTTGGTTGGCTTGATCTTGTATAGGTCTTGTACAAGAAGTCCCAGCCTCTGGGTTCATGTGTGTAAATGCCCAGCAACTTCTGTTTTGCTGCACAGGTCTACTAGCTCTTACAATCCTCTCTCCTTTCCAGGATGAGCCTTGAGCATTGAGAGGAGGGCCATGGTATAGCTGTTCTCTTTAGGGTTGGGTGCTCTACAACACTCTCCTACCCTCTGCATGTTGACCAGCTGTGGTCTCTATTCACTGTGTACTGTAAAAAGAAGCTTCTCTCATGAGACTGAGAGATGTACTTCTCTATCACTGGCAGGAGCTGGGTTAACTGGAAAATATAGGTCAGGTTAGAAGCTTGTCTTTTAAATGATCTCTCACCAAATATTTGTTGTTTATCAGTAGATCTTATAACTTTCGATGGCTCTACTTAACTTTAAGAGCAATAATCTTTGATATCTTGGAATTCTTGACTTTGAGAGAGCTCTAGCACTGGGGACAGATGAGACTCCATATAAAGAAATTAAAAGAAAAAAAAACAGGACAAAATTATTGCTCAGTTTATTAACTTCCCCTGTTTCTTTTGCTTATTAAGATCCCTATGGTTTGCTAAAAGTAAACTTTTTAAGCCACATATGTTGAAGTTGAAAAGGACAAATCAAAATCAGCCTGTATAAAATGTGCCTATATTTAAAAGACAGGAATAGAAGTATAAATCATGGTTGGTTTTCATAAATGCAGTAGCAGGGCTCTGAAATTAAATTTTTGCTTATGTTTCCTGCAATAATGACTTAACAATGCAGAGCCGTGAGTTCACCCACAGCTGTGTTCAGGTTCTCAGTCATGAGGCCTCCACCCTTTATGAAATGGAGCCTAAGACAGAATGAGGGAAAAGACTGAAACAAAGCAGCAAGGCTCTCAAGAGTTTCCATACGTGCAGCACTGTGTCTGCCTCACCATCTTGGCTGTTTTAGTTTATAATGACTATTGATGCATTAAGGTGAGTTATCTTTAGTTTTATTCTCCAGCTTTCACATCTTGAAAGTTTTATAATAAATACCTGATGATTCAAATATATAGCTACTTGGAGGAAGTGTTCAGAAAATAACCACAACTCAGAACTGGAGAGATGGCATAGCAGTGAAGAGCTCATAATACTCTTCTAGGGATGCAAGTTCAGTTCCCAGCGCCCACATGAGATGACTCACAGCTATCTATAACTCCAGCTCCAAGGGATCCAGCACCCGCTCTGAACACTGCAGGCACCATGTACACAACACACACATGCACACTATTTAAAAATAATAAAAACAAATCTTGGTTTTTTTTGTTTTTGTTTTTTTTAATTACCACAATTCAAACAAGACTGTGTGGAGTGCTGAGTCTGAGCAAGCAATACAGGCTCTACTGATGTCATTTGTATCCGTCACCTAGGGTAAATTAATTAACTCCTCCAGGTCACAGATCCTGTTCTCTTAGTTAGAAATTATTGTGCCTTTCAGGACAGTGTTTAAAATTTTGTTAATGATTCTTTAAGACAGGGAAGCGCAACAGTGTAACAGGTAAGAAGCAAGCCACTTGGGAATGAATCCTGGCATTGCCACTTACTAGCTTACTGACCTTGGAGACATTGTCTCACCTCCCTGTTTTCAGTTTTCTTATCTGTAAAGGAGGAATGGCACAGGTTCATATCACATAGTGGCTGTTACTTGAATTAATATTTGCAGAGTACTTAAAACTGTGCCTGGTACATGGTCCTGTTCAAGTGTTTGTAAAATAAATTGTTAGTTAAATCTCTTGGCGCCATGTAAACACTCAATAAAAGGTGGCTGCTATTTGTGTTCAATGCATAATTGATTTCATTGAAACAAAGCTGTAAAACTTTGATAGCCAACTAACCTCCTTCAGCACATTAAAAAAAAAAAAAAAAAAAAGTCAGTGGCCTTAAAGTTTTGTTAATGCGAATAGTAAAGGAATAAGGAAAGTGCATCACTTGGATTTGAAATTCTCTCTGATAAAACATTTCCTCTGAGCAAAACCTTAAGTGCAGTTAGTAATATAGAATTAGCCAGGTTAATCTGACCTGCATATCACAAGTCATTTATCTTTAGCTCACAAGGAATGCTTTTTTCTGACTTGATTGGTGGTGTAGCACCTTTGCCATTCTTTTACAGCTTTGCACTTACTAGAAGACCTTAAGATAAAGTTTCTGTGTATACAGTTTCTGTCTCGCACCCTAGAAATGAGGAAGGATAGAGATGAAAGGGGATTTGTTGACCTTCTTCCATTCATTATCCCCTTGCTACTAGTATCATATATGGGAAAATAGTCTTCATATACAAGCATGATGACATACATTTATCAGTCTACTTTGCAGGCTTAGTTCATCGAGCCTTGGCTGTGGAGGAGTGCTCAGGCCTTCATTTATTTTTGTCCAGCCCACCCTTTCTCCATGAAGGCTAAACATTATCATTTCTTTGTTTCTTGGCTCTTGGACTCCCTGATTGGACACAGTTAGATGGTTCCAGGTGGTTCATTACTGGTCTCAGGATAACATTTCATCTCAGCTTTGGTGATTACTCCTGTGCCCTCCTGTCTGACAGTGACTGATATTTGGAGGTAAATTAAGCAACTGGCTTTTTCACACTGGTAGGCAACAAAATGTGCATTGAAGACGGTGTTAGCTAATGGGTTTTCAGTATGTGCAATGAGTCAGTCTGGCTCCTGTCATTCTCCTTCCTTTCATTTGTCAACATGCATTTCCTTGTGATTGTCTTCGTCACTCCTACTATGATAATTACAAATGTGTACCCTTTCATCA